TTGCTGTATTGACTGTAATAATAATCCCTTCTGTTCTTTGGTTCTCTGTTTCCATTACTCCATCAGATAGCCAAGGGGGATCCTATATTCTGGGACTTTCTGCCTAGGACAGCAAGTCCCTCTTGCCTCACAATCTCCACCAATGTGCCCCACTAAAGACTTCAAAATTGGGATGCTAAAAGGCTCGCTTAACTCCCGATTTCTGTATCTTTAGAAGGGAGCTATCATAGAGGAGGAATCGTGGTGTGGCGCTGTAGAATAAGTACTGGACCACCAGGTTGGCTTGAACCAGACGATTGACAGTTCAAACCCATCTCAAAAACCCTATACAGTGTTGCTAGGAGTCAGAACCAACTCCACGGCACTTAGCAATAACGACAGTCATAGAGGGGCCACAAGCTCCCGCACACCACCCTCCTCCTCCTCCTCAGAATGTTGTCATTGTTGTTAAGTACTGTCGTGTCAGTTCCTACTCAACGCTGGATAGGGTTTCCCAGGACCTGGCAGTACAAACCAACAGTGTGATCCAATGTTTATCCTACAGTGAGTGCCACACCAGGAAGCCATCTTAAAAAAAGTGACTTGGTCTGATTTTTGTTTTGTTTTTAAATCACTCTGGTAGCCCTGTATAGAGCAGACAGGAAGGGGACAATTTAGAAGGCTGTGAAAGTGATAAGAGATGATGTTGGAACCTCAGAATGATTCTGCTTTATGTCTGCCTCATGACACACCATCTACTGCTACCACCACACTGATATTGTGTTCACTGTATATTCAGGAGCCAAAGTCAGTGAAGCCAGCTGGCCAGATGGGGCATGTGGTTGACTGAAGATTGCTTTTGTCCCATCTAAATGGGGTCACCACTGTTCAACATCAGTTCTATCAAGAAGTGCAGGCCCAGTGTTCCAAGAGACATCGGGAAAGTGGTCTTTATGTAACGTCTCCTAGTTTTTAAATAAGTTGTATCTGAGTCCTAGGGCTGACCTCAGTTTTATATACGCTCTATCTGCAGTCTTACCTGCAGTCACTTTCAGTTCTCACCTAAATGTTGAAGTCTGTATTAGATCTCTAGCCTAGTCCACACTACAGATTCACAGAGCTAAAGCGTCTCCATGTGGGTGCCCATACACCCCAAATACAAAGCTGAGCTCATCTGCCACCCAGAATGTGACACACTATAAGATCTCAATGAATGTTACGTTTTGCTTTGTTCCCCTAACAAAATACTACTATTACTTTATTAACTATTACCACTATGATATAATAATAATAATCCCTTTTGTTCTTTGGTTCTCTGTTTCCATTACTCCATCAGATAGCCAAGGGGGATCCTGTGATCTTGGACTTTCTCCTTACCTTTTCATCCTAGCTCCAGGCAGCTGGTGGATTGTATTGATTCAGCCTCCACAAGCCCTCTAGAACTCACTCTAACTTACTAACTAGAAATTGTTTTAATTTCTGAACTTGTCTCTTCTAAGCTATTGTCTCAGCCTCCTAACTGTTCACCCTGCCAGTCTCTTCTCTGTTGGGATTTACCTATCACACTGTGATTACTCACTTTTCTTAAGTTATAGGAAAACTCTTGTCACTCATCTCTTCTTATACTTGTGATGGATCCTACTGGCTGCCCCCAGAGTTTCCCAACTACCTCTGCATGCCAACTAAAATAGGCAATATATTAAACATACGTAAGCATCTGTACATTTATCCTTACTGCTTTCATGCCCGTGCTAGTCCTGTTAATCTTCCATATCTCTTCCATGAAGCCATTCCTAGTATTCTCGTCACCAGCCCCAATTCATGTATTGATGCATTACACACACACACAAATAAACTACTTGTCCATTCTGTCTTCTAAGCTCCTGCTCAACATTTGTCTATGTCTCTTTCCATTTTATCTAGCTTTGTATTTCAGGCAAAATCTCCCTTCCTGATGATCAGTGTCTTGATGGGAGACATGCTTTATCATCTGTATAATTCCACATTGCTTTACATGCAATAAACACTCTAAACATGTGTAAATTGACAACTTAAAAGAGCAAAGATATACAGAAGTCAAAACAAAACACTTACATTATTCAAAACTATTTCTCAGAGCCGTTAGACAAGTACCAAGCTAAAGAAATGAATATTCTGCCTGTCATCAATTACATGGATGCAGTTTTTAGAGGTAGAGAAGCACAATTTGGTCTGCTTTTCCTCAGGCCTTCTCCAGACTGCCCTGTGGAAGCTTGGATTCAGTGCCAGGGCCAGGGAAGAATGGGCAAAGTCTCTGGGAAACCAGGGCTTCCGCCACTCTGGCAGATAGAACCGTGTACCGTTCTACTTGCCCAGAAGAACAAGTTGTACCCACACATTCACAGGATGTCCTCTGCTTGCATTATTGGCAGTCTTGGGAGTCTCTCACAAACCATAGGGGTCTATTCTGCTGTCCCAGTATCCTGAGCTTTTTGTAGCATTGTTTTTGTTGTTAATTAGCACCTATAATAGAAACTGCTAATCAGAGAACCATATCACATTGACTTTTCTAAGGAGAGTATCTACTTCCTTCTTTTGTCATTGCTGCTGTTATTAAGTGCCTTCGAGTTGGTTCTGACTCATAACAACCCTGTATAGGTTTTCCAAGGAGCAGCTGGTAGATTTGAACTGCCGACCTTCCATTTATCACTCCAGAGCTATAGCACCACACCAGGTATTTTTCCCTTCCTTTCTGAGTTGTACATGCATACCCAGGAAGAGGCCAAGCAGCATGAACTCTTAGCTCTTACATAACCTACTTTATAAGATATGTATTTCCTGCATCTGCATTGACCATGTTAATTACTTGGAGTGGTAACTTCACTAATTGGACTAAATCCTCCTTTTATGTTTGAGTTCCACCTGTGTCTTTTAATTCCTTGTCCCGGCAAGAAAGAAGGCTTTAAACCCTATCAGTGTCTTTTGTTTTTTTTAGCTCTTCTTTGAAGTTTGTTTTCTTTTAGCATTTTACAAGGTATCTCCATTTAGATTTGCTGAGGGACTTTGAAGCCTTCTCCCTCCACATTATCATTTTCATTTGAAACAACACTGGTGACTTTACAGCTTTAGACACCTGGCATGGCAGAGGTGACTGACCACCTCCAAGCACTACCTTTTCATGTTTGCATCCTTAACAAAATTCGCTTTTTATTTACTTAGTAAATTGAGCTCCAGCACATTGAGCTCCAGCACATTTTCTGTAAGTAAGCATTATTTCTATCTTGTTTCATAAATTAGACATGAAAAAGTGTATTATCTTGAATTACATAGGTTTGTTTCTGCTGCTAACTTCATTTAAGCAAAAAGCAACTAAACTCTTTATCCAAGGTAATTTTCTTTTGAAAATGGGAAATTAAATGGACTCCTTGTGTGTCGCTGTAGGATAAGTGCTGGATGCGAACCACAAGGTCGGTGGTTCAAACCCACCAGCTACTCCACAGAAACACAAGACAGGGTTGCTATGAGTCGTAACTGACTTGATGGCACTTAATAACAATAACAAAGTCCTTAAACAAAGTAAGGATTCTAGTAGCACAGTAGATGATATGTGTGGCTGCAAACTACAAGGTCAGAAGTTTGACTCCACTAGCTACTCTGTAGGAAAAAGGTAAGACTTTCTGCTCCTATTAAGATTTACAGCCTTGGGAATCCTATACAGGATTTCTATGAGTTAGACCCGACATGATGGCACACAACCACCATCAGTCCTTGTTTAGGAGTCCTGTTGTGACTCTCTAGGATAAGCACTGGACTGTTAACCACAAGGCTGGCTAGTCAAACCCACTAGCCACTCCTCAGAAACAGGGTTGCTTTAAGCCGCACCTGACTCAATGGCACTTAACAACAATCCTTGTTTAAAGAACCCTAGTTGTACTGTGGTTCAAGCGTTCCGCTGCAAACTGCAAAGTTGTGGACCAAACCCACCAGCAGCTCATTGGGAAAAAGTTGTGGCAGTGTGCATCTGTGAGAATTTACAGAGTTGGAAACCCTATAGAAATGTTCTAATCTGTCCTTACAGAGTTGCTGTAAGTTGAATTCAACTTAGTGGCAATGGGTTTGGGTTCTGTTTGTGTCTGTTGATTTAGTCCTTGTTTAGGAAGTGGTCAAAGTATCTTTACTGTAATACTGGATTTCGCTAAAAAAATCTCTATGGGCGCTTAACCCCAAGGCTGGTGTCTAATTAATACAAATACAAAGGATTTACATACACATAGCTTAAATATGTGAGAATGCTTGTTTTCATCTTGGGTTTATGAAACAACAGACTCTTAGTCATTAAATGGACACAAAAATCTTGAAGGGGAAAAATTTCACCCAGAACTATGATGTCTTTGTTATTTCCAGAGCCGGGGGTGGGGGGAGAAAAAAAAAAAGACTT